TTATAGAGTTATGACCGCAACACACAACAAGTCCTGAGCTGCACAGGTGACATGTTATTATAACAACAAGAATTACAAAATTAAACCCATGGAGGTATAAAAGTTTGTCGAAAACAAGTGGCTCAACGAGATTGCTCCGACGCATTTTAACATAGCGCTCGCCCAGATGATCGATTTCATTGCGACCTGTTTACTACGAGTATTCACCAGTCCATGAAGAAAGTGTTATTCCTTGGAGCTCCAGGCGTTGGTGAGCAGTTGGTACTTACCCCGCTGCTTGTGCTTTGCTCTCAGGTAAAGGCACTTTTGCCAAGAGAATCGCCCCGAGGTTGAATCTGCGTCACCTCAGTGCTGGAGAGCTACTACGTGCTCATGTAAAAGCAGGCAGCCCTCTCGGGTGCTTGGCCAAGCCTTTCCTCGATAAAGGTATGTACTCTCTATAATCACAAGGAGCATATAACCTTCCGTAGGCCTGATGGTCCCTTCTGAGCACAGTGTTGAGTTGATGAAACATGAAGTAGCTCCGCTAAAGTGTCGAGTCGTTCATTGTCGCTCTGCTGTAGGTGATGAGCCTTCGAAACGCCGCCAGAGTTGACGGCTACATTCTTGATGGTTTTCCTCGAGTTCTAGAGCAAGCCCAGATGTGGTCTGATCTAACTCTTGGTGACGGTAACCCTGAGCTTGTAATTAATATCAGCCTCGCAAGATCGGTGACAAGTCCTCTGCTGCTGAGCATGTGCCCATCGGTTGCCTCTAGGTATTGATACACAAGTTGGCCTCACGACGCATCTGTGGGAGCTGCGGTGATAACTACAACCTCGCTGATATACGATATGGTCACTATGATATGCCTCCAATGCTACCTAAGGCTGAGGGGATTTGCGATTCGTGTGGTTCTGGCCTTGTGAGTCATCACAACGTCAGTGATATTCTGTTGAGGTTTGTCTAGATTCGACGTGATGATGACACGGATGAGATCATTCAACACCGGTTGGATCTTCACTTCGATAAGGAAGAGCCCCTGCTAGACTTCTACCGGTGAGGATTCGGTCTGTTCTCTGTTGTAGAGACTTCCTGTCCACAGAAACTCCCCCAACACTGAAGTGATCGATTTTCAAGTAACGCGTGGTATACAACAGACCGATTCGCTGCTAGAAATAATTCAAACTTATTTTACCAGCATTAAGCGGTAGGGGTGTGCCTCCACTTCCGCATGGTTCATCGTTTCCTTATAATCGTTTCA